TATATATATATATATATATGAAAGATATATCAAAAATGCCATGTGGGTACTCAAATGAAAGCTCTTCATTTAATAATACAAAATTTTATTTATTTATAGTATAAAAGTAACTGCAGTCACGTAGTGACTGCAAGGCTGCTAGTTTTAGACTTAATCTCTAAATCTGCAGATTTATCATGATAAATTTTTATCAAACCAAAGGCAATCTTAAAATTATTATCTAGACTTATCAATATTCTATTTAATCTAAAATTCATGCAAAAAATAAATAATAATAAAATTAAGTAACATCTGTCAATTTCAATAATTATTTTAAAAATTTGATGTCGAAATAATAAAAAAAAAAAAATTATTTACTCTTAAAAAAGTCTTACAATAAATGTCTATAAAATTTATATCTCGACTTTATTAAAATTAATGTTAATTAATTCTTATAATAAAAAATTAAAATAATTTTTTAGGTGTCAATTTATTAATAAAAATAAATAAATAAAAATACCTTTATTTTGAGGTGGTGTTCTACGCATTTCACAGGGGGCTCCACTCTCTTCACCAGCGCTCGGTCTGGTCACACGTACCGAGCTCACCAGCTCTTGCTGAAACTCCCGAAATTCTGACCCTTTGACTCCTGTAGCTAGCTCGTCCTCAGAGGCTCCCAATTTCTCAGAGCCAATAACCTTCAGCGTCTCTGGGTTCGCTGCTGGAACCAAAAAAAAACTCACTAGATCAATACGCCCTTTCCACTAAAATTACATAATCCATAACAACATTACAACCAAAACAATAATTAAACAAACATTACCAAGTACTGTTTAACAATTATAATTAACAAATAAAATCCACTGAATTAATCACTGATTCACTTTGTTTATAATTATAAGAACCGACCCCTTTGGGGTGGTAGTGACATCTACGTTAAAAAAAAAAACTTTCATATATATATATATGTATATACATATATGTCTATTGAGTTATTTATTGTGACGTAAAGACGGACGAGGTTTCGCGAATACTGCCAGCATTGGAGCCATTGGAGATCTGCGAGGTGAAACTGTACTAAAATTTTACTGGATTTTACTGTACATTTTATTTCTTTTGAGCTTGGCTCTTTTATTGGTTCGTTGTCAAGCTACGGTTTGGTCCCAGCCAATAGAAAATTAAGAAAATTAAGTGAAGGCTCTGCTTGTTAAATTTAATAGCTGTTATTTATTTATTTTATTTAAAAATTTTTAAAATTCTGGCTATGATAATTGTTGAAATTAATTGTTGGAAAATTGAAGAAAATTTTGCAAAATTTTTTTTATAAAGTTTTTAATTAAGACAAAATTTTAAAAAACTTGCAACTTTGTAAAATTGCACTGTACTTTCTTAAATATTAAAGTTTTTAAAGATATAAGCTCATCCTGATGCTACACTCATCAAGAGCTTTCATTTGAATACCCACATGCATTATTGATATATTTTTCATATATATATATATAAATATGAAAAATTGATGTGGGTATTCAAATGAAAGGTCTTGATTAGTGTAACATTAAGATGAGCTTATAACTTAAAAAATGTCAATAGTTTACAAGATACAAGGTAATTTCTTAATTATTGACATTTTTTAAGATATAAGCTCATTACGACATTACACTCATCAAGACCTTTCATTTGAGTACCCACATGCATT